AAAAGTATCTTTCTTACTAGCAAGAAAGATAGTCCAAGTATATCTTGAGAAACAATTATAAGCACGTATTCTTAAAAAAAACATTGTTACCTCCGTCTCATAATTGAAAGATACGTAGCAAATTGAACTTAAAACCTTGACAAAACAAAAAAAAAATTGAATGGTTGGGTGATTTTCCGATTTTTCCCACGGATACAATTTCTCCTTTGCCGTTGTCTCCAAATATCACCTTCCCACCACTAAATGGCCGAAGTGAGAGGAATAAAGATGAGTCTCCAGTCATGTGCTTAGAACAACCACTGTCAAGGAACCAGTGATTGTTCCCCCTCACTTGGCGCTGTTCCTGAATCACGGGTTAGTCTGTGGAACCCAGACTTGCTTGGGTTCCATTTTGTATTTGTTTGAGGATGGATATCGAACATAGTCAAAACATCTTTCTAAGGTCTTTTGTCGAGAGTGACATTGATACCGAAGATGCCCGATTTTGCCACAATGCATGCAAACTCGGTTGTCATAGGTATCAACGTATTTAGGTTTCCATTTACCATAAAAGCCTCTTGTTTTCTTATGAAAAGTTCGGTTAGGCGTTTGTCCATAACCGTTTTTGTGCCTCTGAACCAGTCTATTGAACCAGTTTGGTCCAGTTCTAGGTGGTTGTTGATATGGTCTAGAACTGGGTTGTCCTCTGGTTCTATTTCCATTAAAGGATCGGTTCTGAAAATCGGGTTTTTTATTAGGTTGAGTGTTCCTTGGAATATAACCGAGACCAGCAGTCTCGTTTTCCTTCTTATTGTGCCGAGGGGGACCAGTTCCAGAATAAGGTCTAGACCTGGTTTTGTTCTTAGCACTATATGCTTGGTATTCCGGTCTATTTTTAAAATCTGTACACTCGGCAACAAGACGATGAAGATGATCAATCAAAGTACCAACGCTCGGAATTTTTGAGAGAAGTTTTTCATCATGATTAACTTGTTTGTTCATACTATCGAGCTTAAGAGAGCAAATGATTTGATCTTGTTCTAAAACCACTTCACTGTACTTAAGCCTTTCATCTATTAACTCTCCCACTTTTGTTTCAAGCCTTATCTTGGCTCTCGTGGCTTCCTCGAGTTTGGACTCAAGCTCAGTGATTTGTGATTTAAGATGATCATTTTCAGAAAGGTTTTGATTAAGCTCAATAGTCAATCTTTTGAAAATTTTCCGAACTTTGGTTTTGGATAGAGAGTCAAACTTAGATAGAAAATTTTCAAAGTTTACCTCGAAGCTCTCTTGGTCGGATTCCTCGTCGGAGTGTGCCATAAGACATAGACCTGTATGGTTAGAGTTCTTATCACTCTCCTCTTCTTCGTCATCAGTTGAGTCTCCCCAGGCTGCCATCATTGCCCTTTTGAGATCTCTTTTGAACCCTTTGTCTTTGCTAGACCTCCGGTTAGAACTGGACTTGTTCTTGTCGTAGGTCCGGTCATTTTTCTTTTGTGAACAGTCTTTAGCCCTGTGCTCAAGGGAACCACAAACAAAACAGCCTTGGTTATTAAAAGATTGAAAGTTATTTTTACCTTGTTTGTTCCGGTTGTTCTTGAACCGTCGGTACATCTTCCCGAATTGTCTAGCAAATATGCTCATCTCATCTTCCGATTCACTTTCGGATTCTTCCTCCTCTTCTCGAGCTTTTAGAGCAATTCCTCTCTCTCGCCTTACAGTCTCAGCGTCTTGCTCTTCTTGAAGCCCTAACTCATATGTCAAGAGTGATCCAGTCAAGTCTTCAAGCGTCATGGTGGATAGGTCCTTTGCTTCCTCAGTGGCCGTGGTCTTAGGCTTCCATACGGTGGGTAAGCTTCTCAAGATTTTTCTCACTTGATCTTCCATAGTAATTTCCTTTCCAAGGGCTAAAAGCTCATTGATGATATTAGTAAAACGTGTAATCATATCCTTAATTGACTCTCCAGGCTTCATTACGAATAATTCGTAATTACGCATAAATATGTCAATTTTAGATTTTTTCACACGTGAGGTACCTTCATGAGTAACCTCGAGCAAATCCCACACTTGTTTGGCAGACTTGCATCCTAGAACCCGGTTGTGTTCGGCAGGACCAAGTCCACAAATCAAATATTTTAGTGCTTGGGCATTATGCTCGAGTTTTTGATAATCATCAGTAGTAAATTCAGATTTAGGTTTAGGAACAACATTACCTTCGCCGTTTAGCTTTGTGATGACATTGTCGCCACCTTCTATCACATTCCATACCTGATAATTATCGGCTTTGATAAAGTTCTCCATCCGACTCTTCCAAAACTGATAGTATTTGCCATTGAACAATGGTGGTCGTAGAGTCGAGTACCCTTCTTCCAATCGGTCAACCGTATTCATTTTGCCGGATCTCTTCCCAAGGTATTAACCTCTATGTGGTGAAGACCGGCTCTGATACCAATTGATGAAAACGGTTAGCAACACAAGAGGGGGGGTGAATTGTGTGTGTGTGGAACCGTGGCAGTTTTTCGCCGAGTTCTAGTGTGGGATAAAGGGAATTGCGAAATAGTAAAGTGCACAAGAATTTAACGAGGAAAAATCCCTTGGCTCAAAGGGATTAAAAAACCTCGACCTCCCTCGGAGGAATTTTAACAACTCCACTAAAAAGCCTTTGAAAGATTACAAGGGAAACTCTCCTAGTCTACCCTTGAGCCACCCCAACTCTATCCTCTCTAGGAAGAGTTGCGCTTCTCTACCTTGCGGGTAGAGAGCCTCTCAGCTTTACAACAAAGCTCTCACACACACAAACCAATCCGAGGAGGCTACTCTTAGCCAATCCTCAAAACCCCATTACAATATGAAGAAGGGAAAGAAGAAACTATATCTAGAACTCCGAGTGAGCAGTTTCAGATGCCTTGAACTTCGTATTTTTCTCGAGCCTGTCTCTTGATATTTCTCTGGTTAAGCACACCTTTTTTTTCTCTTGATCTCGATATATATAAGCGGCTCACCACTGCACCGTTGCACTTTTCTTCCTTGGATGGTCAAGTCATTAAGTGTGAAACTTGCCTTGTTATCATTTGAAAATCCTTCCTTTTATGAGGAGATCTCATCTCTTTATCATTAATGTGGCGATCCTTGCTCAAAGTGCACGTAGTAAAAAGGCAGGTGTATTATGGTAATAAATGGATGCACATACATGAAAGGAGTACATCATGCATTCATGGAATTAAACTTACGTACCTTCAAATAACTAACAAGTCAAAGAATATACTTAACATATATGCAATGAACCGTTAACCCTTATTGACCAATAATGCATGGAAAGATTCTTTCTTAAAATAATAATCTTGACAAAGTGAATGACCTTTTCAAATTGGTGATCACATAAAGAAAATATATTAGCTAGTGACCAAATAAATCATGCACCCATATACGGAAGATAATTGAGCAGGTGCAAATTAATTCAAGCTAACTGTCCTTATATTACTAGCAAGTCAAGATCCTTTCCAAAGGAGATTTAATATCTTAAATCAAGGATAACTTTTCAAATCATAAGGCAATGGAATATTTATTTGACAATTATAAGCAAGTTACGGTCACCCAAATCTTGAGTCATGCAATCCTTAATTTAGCAAGCCAATATTACTTGCTATAAAGTATGAGCACAATTAAGGTTAACTTAATTAAGTGGTGTCTAATCATTTATGAAAAGATATTTGAATTGTGCCACTTTCATGATTACCTTTTATAAAGTATAAAGGCATAATCATTTATGAAAAGATATTTAAATTGTCCCACTTTCATGCATAACATATCTAGGTACGTAGATATGGCATTATCATGTAATAACATGTTAATTCATTTATTCATTATTCACGTCAATCATTCACACAGAACAGAACTAAGTATAGTTCTAATTTTCGTTCCTGATAGAACCGAGAGAAGTTCTATCCGCTGGTCTACCTGCATGGTTAGTCAACGATAAAATATATACGACCGTGTTGGAATCTAGGATAGTTCTGGGTTTAGGTCTACGGCTTGTTCCAAAGCACGACTCATCTTCCTTTCCTGCCATCACTTATAGACCAAAAGTAACACTAGTTGTTTGTCATCAACAAAACAATATGTTCCAACATATACCGTGAAAAAATACAACAGAAAAACTTATAGATATTTGTGTAGAAAACTATGCGGAATAATCAACTTGTATTTTCCCGATGAATATCAGATACATTCGTGTACAATATATACATGTTGAAGTGTTCGTTACGTAACTAACAGATAAGAATAACAGCTGTAGAAACGAAATATGTGGCTAGTCTAAAGAGATAAAAGAGCCCGTTTGGTAGCACCAAAATCGGCTGTTTTGGCTGATTCTGCTGAAATTTATGATATTCTGGCTGGAGTGGCTGTTTTGGCTGATTCTGCTGATTTAAGAAAAAAATATTTTAAATATATATTTTATTAATAAATTAAAGAAAAAATTATATGTAAAAATAGCTAAAATGGTCCTCTACAGTAACTTCAGCCAATACAGCCAGAAAAGTAACTCCAACCTTACTTTTTCGGCTTATTACACAATTCAGCGCGCGAAAGTAAAAGTTACGTGTTTGGTGAAAAAGCTGGCTGATAAGCCTGATAAGCCGAAAACAGAGTTCTCCAAACGGGCTCAAAAACTCTAAAAATATATATACTCCAACCGCAATAAAATACATGCATATGATACATGTAAACTCCTAACGTAGGAGACATGCATGTGATGAGATTGGTTGACCGAGAATATATGACCGAACAATTTGGACACTAAAATTATCTATATTAATTATAGCTTTACAATAAAATGAGAAGAGAAGAAGTTTGTTATCTCCCTCAAAAAAATTATCATTGCAATATAGCTCCACTTAATACAATTTACTACGTACGTAGTACTCCGTATTAATTATCTTGATGTGATTGGAGTCTTTAAATATTCTATTAATTAGCAATTTATTTCCACAAACTCCAATTAACTTGAATATTGTATGGATTTGTAATAAACATGCAGGCCACACCGAACACGTACGCGTTAGTTGTCAGTGTAGAGGTTCAATCCCTCAATTGGTACTTCGGCAACGACCGGTCAATGCTAATGACCAATTGCATTTTCCGACTCGGCGGCGCAGCGGTGCTACTCTCGAACCGGCCCTCCGACCGCCACCGGTCCAAATACCAGTTGGACCTCACCGTCCGCACAAACAAGGGCGCGGACGAGAACAGCTACTCCTGCGTGCTCCAGAGAGAAGACGACGCCGGACGAGTCGGCGTCGCTCTCTCCAAAGATCTCATGGCTGTCGCCGGGGAGGCATTAAAGATGAACATCACCACACTCGGCCCAATCGTCCTCCCCGTCTCCGAACAACTCATGTTCTTCCTCGCCTTAACGGCGAGGAAGGTTTTCAAGAACAAGAAAAAGATCAAGCCATATATTCCGAACTTTAAGCTCGCTTTCGAGCATTTCTGTATCCACGCCGGCGGGAAGGCGGTTCTCGACGCCATCGAGAAGAATCTAGAACTCAGTGAGTGGCACATGGAACCTTCTAGAATGACATTGTACAGGTTCGGGAACACTTCGAGTAGCTCTTTGTGGTATGAGTTGGGTTATGCTGAGGGCAAAGGGAGGATCCGAAAGGGGGATCGGGTGTGGCAAATAGCATTCGGGTCGGGTTTCAAATGTAACAGTGCAGTTTGGCGGGCTTTGAAGAATGTAGATGCAGCCAAGGAGAAGAGCCCATGGATGAATGAGATTCACCAATTTCCAGTTCCATCCCTCTATCTCTAAACTATTCCTCTGTCTCTTTTTATTTAACTAAACTTCACTTTTTAAGTTAGTGATGTTAATTGAATTTGATTGATTATATATTTACACACCGTAGTATTGATAATATGAAAACGATATGAAAATTTTCTTTATTAAAAATAAAATCGCAAAAGTATAAATTTATTATATTTCTCATAAATATACGTAGTATTATTTAAAAGAGAAAATGGTCAAATAAGGTCTTCTACTATTATGAAATCGTCACATAAGGTCATGTACTCAATAAAATGTCATATAAATACGTCTACTTATAAAAACAATAGGATGAGTCCTAATGACCCGTTTACAACCTCTTAATCCTGATTTTAGTTTACGTGTCAATTTTTTTGACTTTTATTTCAACTAATCTTAGGTAAATATCCTGATATAAATACGTCTACTTATAATCTATTAAAAAATCTTAGGTAAATTTTAGAAAATTTTGAATTCTTTCCCTTTGGTTGTATGTGACTCTGCCATCTTTTTAGTTATTTTTCATATGTTTAGCACCATAGTTTGATTAGTTATGAGTCTTTTGAGTAATACCTTTTCACAAGCAAAACAATATTTTTGTAGAAATAAGTTTTTGTATAAAAAATACTCCGTAATAAGTAATACTCCATACTAGTTTCTTGACTCACAGCTAGAAAAATGAAAAAATGTGAAACAAAATAAGATTTTATAAAAAATGGTACACAACTTTTAAGAGGGGCGTAGCCAGTATTGATGTTTACCCTTGGCCGACTATACACTAAAACATTATATAAAAATTTTAAAAGCACCAATAGTGTGAACATAATGATTAAAATCCATTAAACTTCATAGTAATATTTTTAAACAATATATACAAAGTTTGAAACTAAAACGTTAACTGACACAAATGACCTTAACAAACTCAACTATGACAGACTCAACATCGATTTTGTTGGCAAATTCCTTTTCACATCAACTTTCTACGAAAAAAGATAACAAAAACATATGCATAGTATTTTGTTAACTGGCTATAACAGGAAGTAGTAAACACAATTTGTCTAGACATTTCAATCGTGTAGAAGAAATGAATACACCTTTAAACCAATTGTTGGGGATATTTATACCACTCAAGTTTCTTTTGGAAGGTTAAACAGAGAAATTGTAAAATTGAAACAAAACATGCCTTTATGTAGAAATAGTTGGGGGTATCTCATATATACTTCAAGTCTATAACAGAGTGTTTGCGGTTGCTTAAAAAAAGCGTTTTTTAGCTTTTGACTTTAAAAAAGTTGAAAAGAGGGTTTTCAAATGACAGCTTCTACTTAAATTAATCACTTAAAAGCTAAAAGATGGAAGAAGGTGGAAGAATGCTTTAAACTTTTCACTTTTTTTCTATTAAACAAAAAGTACTTATTTTACCAAACACTATCAACTTTTACTTTTTCAGAATAACTTTTTTCTCAAACACTACCAACTTTTACTATTAAGTACTTTCTACAAAATCACTTTAAAAAATCACTTTCTTTTAAGTAGAAGCAATCGCAAACGCTCCCTAAATGTTCTCTTAAGGTCTTACACATATTCCAAGCAAATATTTTTACCAATTTTATAATTTTTGAGTTTAATTGTTCTAGGAGAAGGTCGAGGAGCAAGGTTTTAAATAGCTGTAGCAGTAGTGGTAGCGGTCATCGCGGTAGCGGCCTGTAGCCGACTGTAGCGCGGCTGCAGCGGCGTGAAATATTTTCAATTGCGCAAAACATAAATGTACTTTTTTACATCATTCACACAACATTTAATTTTGAGTTTCACTCCATGCATCACCATTAATGTATTTTTCACATCATCGACACAACATTTACACATTTACACATCAAACAGTTAGTGATGTACTGCCAGAAATGTCAATAGCGGGCTGTAGCGGGTGGCGTAGCGGATTTTTCCCATGATTTTGAAATCACACACAAATAGCGGGCTGTACGTAGCGGTAGCGGTAGCGGCCCCTACCGCGACCGCTATATAGCGGCCGCTATAGAGGTAGCGGGCCGCTATTTAAAACCATGTTGAGGAGTATATTTGATATCTGACATAAAATATTTAACAGTAAAACGGAGTAGTTTTTATATTTTCAATTAGTATTTATTAAACGGACCAAAAGAACTCTACATGAATTCCAGCAACTCATAGAAAATTTTAGAAACCAATAAGGTAAGCATTAAAACGTTTCAAAGCAGTCTCTTTATAAAATCACCGTCCGCAGCAAGATCTTATATTTTATCTTAAGTAATACTCCGTATGAAGTAAAAAGCACGCATATGAAATTTGGGGAGGGAACTTGAATTCCTCGGCGGCGAACTTGAGAACGGCGGTGAAGGGAGCGGCCTCCGGGTGCAAGAGAGAAGAACACAGCTTTGAAGCACTCAAGAATCAAGCCATAGCTCTAGGTCGCTCTAGTTGCGCAGTCCTTAGACGACCAGGAGCAAACGGTGTCACGCCGAGACCTCGGCGACCAGGGGCGGAGCTAGAGCACTAGGCCGGACTGGGCCGATACAAAGAATATTTTTTGAAAATTTTTTACACGGAATTTTTTACACTAAAAATACAAGCATTTTTAAAATTTGGGCTGGGCCAGGAGCCCAGGACCAGGGATGGCCCTCCCCTAACTCCGCCCATGTCGGCGACATCCGGCGATTGTGTGCGCAGGGGGTAGGGGTGTTAGTGCGTTACCCGTTTATGGAGCTTCTTTTCCTTAGATTATTAGAGCTGGACTCTTATTTTGCTCTGGGCCAAATGTTTTTACACTGGGTCAGTTTTATTTTTGCACTAGGCCATTTTCTAAAAAATAATTAAACTGTATATATAATACAAAAATAAAATAAAAAATGCCCTGGGCCATGGCCCAGCCAGGCCACCCCTGACTTTTAAATTGATGCAATATACAAGTATACCGTAGTACTGTACTATATACGTAGTACGTGGTAGTATTTATAAGATTTTTTTTCTTACAAAACATTGAATGGTAGAAGTTAAATTTGACTCAGATTTGGAATTTAAAATAGGAAAAATTGAAAATAATAATCCCAACTATTGCCGGTCCGCTGAAAATAATCCCAACTATTGATTATTTTTGTATAATCCCAACTATATAGACTATCCGCCAATAATGGTCCATGACCATATATTACCTCTGTAAAAAGTGAATTTTAAATAGAAATTAAGCGTAAAAATTAAAAGTTGAGATTATTTATAGGGATTACTTGTTATATCTCATCTCATCCACTTTAGAAACTACAATAATTTATTCATAGGGACCATTATTGGCGGAAGTTCCCTAAAGTTGGGATTATTATGAGCGGATCGCAAATAGTTGAGATTATTACTATCAATTTTTCCTTTAAAATATGTCTTTTCTTAAATATTATAATTTCATTCCCTTTCCTACTTTTTCACTTAAACACAAGTACACAACACACTACACCGTTTAGGTTACCCTTATTATTTTCCTTTTAAAACTTAGTGCCATATCTTAGTGGGACAAATATTGGAGAATGAGGGAGTATGATATTTCATCTAAACTTTAAGTTGATATGACTAAACAGTACAAATATATTGTAGGATTGACACGAATTTACCGATTTTTCGTGCCAAATAAACTCGTGCCAAAATGTTTTTGTCAAAGAAGGATCCTTCTTTATTTTTTTTTCAAATCTCTACCAAAATATCTGTCAATCCCGTGTTTTTGTATTGATACGATAGAGTAACATATACGGAGTATGATCTTTATATCATTTTACTCCACATATACTCGGTATAATTTTAAATTACATCGATGGGGTACGGTGGTACCCCGTACTAGTAGTATTTCAAAACGCTCTCAATCCAAAAACTGCTCGCTACAAACGTCGTATAATGAAAGCATATCGGAAGTTATCCTGATATTATTTGAAGATATGAAATTCCATAACAAAACGTTAAATATTATTATTATGAATAATTTATGATTTTATTGTTTTACTTAATTACTCTATTTTTTGTACGGAGTATACTAATACTAGATCTAGGGCCGGCTCAATAGATTAGGAGACCCGGTGCACATCACGTAAAATAGGTCTTATATTAAATAAATATAATATAAAAAGAAGCCTTAAAAAATAACCCAAAAAAGACTACAATCGAATGTGACATTGAGATATAATCATCTTTGGAACCTGAACAACCAAAATTGGTAATAAAAAAATGAAAAGAAATGAATTAAAATCATGAACTAAAAAATATAGAGTAAGATATTACTGGAAAAAAACTATGTACTCTCCGTCTCTTAGAACCAAGCTCGTCTAAACTGTACGAGAAATTTGTGCTAATTACTATAACTAGGCCTTATCCAGACTTTGTGTAATAAAGAAGTTGCACATTTAACTTAACAATTGCATGTTAATTAATTACATATAGATATTAGTATTTAATGTTTGTATTTAAAAACAAAATTCTAAAATATGAATCTTTAATCAAATAAAAAAGAATTTTGTATAATATATAGACTATATTTAAAATTTTGGTCTATTCAATTGAGAGTTTGAGACGCCTTGTGCGCGCGGTATCACTTCTTGTACTTCCGTTTGTAATTTAATAAAAACCTGCCACAGTACACGTTCTCTGCCATGCATGCAATATGCCGGCCTGGCATGCGCTGACTATTCATATGGTTGTATTGGCATTTAATTGTCATTTAAATTAATAACAAGTTGTCAATGAATTATTCTTTTTTATTTTGAGGAACTAGTCAATGATATTTCGATCTAAGAATCTGTAGTTAAAAAAAGAATCTTGGTCATACAGAGATCAACCGCTTATTTGATAACACCGAAATTAATTTGAAATTGTGAAATTCTAAATATAAGGCTAATTAAATTAGCCGAATCTATAGAATAATGAAAAAAAGTATATGGAAGAATTAAAGAATATTTAAAATAGTCACTTTGATCAATTTCAATCCCTTCGGTCCGAAAAGTAACCGCAATCTTATTTATTCTGGCAAAAATTGCTAATAAATTCCCAGTATATAAATTACTTAATTAATGGGATCTAAACATGCATTTATCAAT